GTCATCTTGAAATCTCTTATGCCTGCATGGCAATGGTTAAGATCAGCAGCCTTTAATCTGGATGCACTTTGAACTCCATGGGACATCAGAAAAGTTCTCTTTGTGCATCAGGTCCACCACCCTCTACAGCACTTGAGCAACAACTTTTTTGTTAATGTCCAAGGCATTTGCTTTTGACTTTCCCAAGCTCACTGTTCTGCTTTCTCCAATGAATTTTCATTTATCAGGGTCAGCCAGCTCAGCCTTTTTCTCCCCTTTTTTTTTGTGATGGAATCAGTATGAGGAGCAGGATTAAATTAACAGTGTTCATTGCATAGCTCTTGTTTTCATGACACCTGTGATCTGTCTTACCTTCATCTTAATGTAAGTTTTTTTCCAGTCCAGCAATCTGGCAGTTTCTTTCTTGAGAGCTCGTTTGGAAGCACAAAGAGTTTTGTGTTTTGACAATTTGGCACTTACACTTCTTCTTTTCTTCTTCAACCTGGATATGCATTAAAATATTCATTTTAATCTCTTTTGCATAATTGATGCTTCAGCGGTTTGTACAGTGAATGAGCAATTTTATGCAAGAAATAAGCAAATGGGCTGAAAAGAGCCGGGTGAAAGGCAGGTGATTGGTCCAGTCCAGGCTGTTTAACCAGCACAGCGAAGCGTGCTGCTGAAAAGCTCCTTCTGTGTGAAAAGTTCAGTGCTCAGGGCATTTAAAACAGACCCAGCCAGTCACTTTCGTTAATCATCTCCGATGTTGAGAAAAAGGCAGTCATAAAATCTTTGTGACCCGTATCGCTGCGGTGATGAGCAGCAGCTTCAGCTTTTTTTTTTTTGCTTTCAGAGATGGAAAAAAATTTAGATCTTGTTTCTGCAAACTCTCCTGGAGATTGGGAGTCACCAACTTGTCTCTTTTCTTTAAACTAAAGACTCGTCAGAAAAAGCAGGATGCTCCCCTTTGTCAGCGGTTGTGTCAGGCACTCGTGTTCCCAGTAGCACATCTGGCCGCCTGGGGAGCGCGTTGAGGAACGTGGGACTGGAACGTATGAAAATGCAAAGGACCCGACCTCGGATGCGTCTGCTTGTGCGTCCCGTTGCGCTGCCGCCAGCGCGATGCCAGGCTGGTCTGAATGGGTCACAACATACATAAAGAGGCTGTAATGAAACGTCTGTCATCTCAGAAACGCAGGGAACTGAGCACTGCTGAACTGGACGGTGTTCAAAAAAGGATAATTTAAAATTAAATTCTATAATCTTTCTCTGTTTGCTTTTTGATTTATCAGTATTGGGTTTTTTCTCATGGCTTAACGCTATCTTGACTTCCTAGGCAGAAATGCTGGTTTAAGTGTGCGTTTGTCTGCGTTACCTCTTTATCTTTCCCTTTCCTGAACTTTGTAGGCATAAATAGTCTTGAACTTAGCAAATTTGCTTGACCCAGTAGATATTATATACTTCCGTCATGCAGAGCATGAAGGTTCCATCAGGCAAACAGTGCCTTAGTAGGTAGAGAATGAGGAAAATCTATAAACTGAACAAAGTAATTCTTGTTACGTGTAGCAGTAGATGCATTTGCGCTTTCTAATTAGTGGGAAAATGTGGAGTAAACGTAGTTATTAGATTATGAGTGTTTAAGCCTGCCTGTTTTTTTGTGAATAGAAATGTTAGTGTGAAGAGCTCTCTTCTTTGGCTTCTGCAATTACTCACCTGGATGTCTTTTGTTAATAAAACCTCAGAAAAAGTGGAGTTTGGTGTGCTTTATCTCTTTCCTGCACCTCAGAATGATTGGAGCTATGAAATTACAGACAGGGGTTTGAAAACATTAAAGACTGTACTGCAAGGGCTAAGACTGCATTTCTGAGATTTCTGTCCTTAAATACTAGTAACTGTTGGGATTTTTTTCCAGTTAAACATTTTATAGAAGCAAAGCTGTTGAAGCTGGCTGGCTCCCATGCAGCCCAAGCAGAGACATCATTAGGGAATGTCGCTGGGAGATGGAGCTGGCCTTTCCCTCTGGGTAGCGTGTGGCTGGGTTTTTTGGTTCCGACAAGGTAACAAATGCCGGTGTGCGTCTGTCTGCTTCCACCTCTCTGTCTGTTGGGGGAGACGCTACGACGAGAACCCTGGGGGTAGACCTCGCGCCCGTAGCTTTTCCCTGCGCTCTCCAGAGCTGCTGGTCCGATTCCTTCCCTTCCGCCGGAGTGAGGAGCGTTACGTCCGACGGCTGACAAAGGCAGCTCTGTTTTATACTTCTCTCCCAGCCCCCATTTCCCCCTGTTTTGGTACCCGGCTTACAGGGTTGACTCAAAGGCCTCTTCCTCCTGTGGTGGGCTGTACCACGCTTCATGGAAGAAATAATTGCCTGTTATCCTTAAGTTTGGGGGTTTTGAGGGCGCTTTCCCCTTCAGTTGTGTTTTTGGCTCGATTTATGACTTTATGAATAGTTGGTGATTGATTTCTCCCATTTCCCATCCTCTTTCTTTTTTTTCACCTTAAAGGACGCGTTGTATAATGCTCTGAACCCAACAGCTCCGGTATTTTTATAATATGTGGCAATCTCTGCTGCTTGCTACAAGCCAGGGATGATAACCAGCTCCCCGTCAGAATGGATATGGATTTTCCTGGGATTTCAAAGAGATGATCGGGCATGATAATGTGCACCACAGAACAGGGTTGAAGCAGTAAGTTAAAACCATTTCAGCAGCCTGTTCGGGTGAACAGGATAACAGTTGGGACATCACTTCTTGGAGTCGTCAATGGCAAAGAAACATCTCTTTGGGTCTAACCGTAACTTTATTGGCTTTAATCTCTTTCAGTAACTGTAGGCTGAAAGACGTAAATTGTATTACAAACACAGATTTTTCTCGATCGTTTATACCCCTGCTGTAGAAAAAGGGGATTTGTTGAGGTTTGTGTGCACGGCAGCGCTGCACCGTGGCGGCTGGAGGCGGCAAGGCTGGAGCGTGTGGCTGCGCCTTTGCTTTGCAAGATGCGTCAGCAAAAGCTGGCTCAACGTGCTTTTTGATGTGTCTGAATTTCTCAGCTTTTCTCATGGAAGCCCTTCAGAATGCGAACAGTGACAGTTTTAGCGTGAGAGCCTGTTTCTAATGAAGTGAAGTTCATCAAGGAAGTTGCTTCGCCCTCCTTTGCATACAAGCTATATGCGTGCAGAAATGACTCTTCAAACGGGGCTTTGCATGCAGAGGTGCTGTTGGTCGGTAATTATGGATGCGTGTCTTTGGACATTGCGGTGTCTTTATTAGAAAACCAGAAGCTTATCGGTTCCTGTATTTAGCTAAAGCCAAATGCACCCAGCTCTTCATGCAGTAGTTGAGTCCAGCTGCACACAATATAGAAGTGCTGGCTGCTTGTTACCTAGCAGGGAGTTTAAATAAGTAAATATATTTTAAAATCTGACGCTCGGCTGCAGGCTAGTTTGGGCGTCAGCTGGTTTTGACAATCAGTCGAGTCTGCACCTTTTTTTTTTTTTTTCTTTTCATTCTACTGTTTTAGTGAAGGAAAGAAGTTCATGAGTCATATAGCCTTAGGTTTAACTAATGCTCACTAATGCAAGTGTCCCCTGGGACAGAACGATTTGTATTGATATGGTTAAATTGTATTGTAGTCCTTGTAGTTGTTTGTTTTTTTTTTTTTTTTAAAAAAAAAAGGCCAATTGCTTTGCCTATTGAGGTAAATCCCATTTTGATTTAAAATTTGAATGGAAATAGGGATGTATGCATGTAAAGCCCTGTCAGAGTAATTTTTTTTCCCCAGTGTTGAAGTGGTGGTTCTTTCTGTGGTGAAATACAGAAGTGGAGGAACATTTGCCAGAGGAGGCTAGAGGGTGTAGCAGGCTATTGTGGTATTTGTGGAAGAAGGGTAAACGTTTGCTAAATCTCATGGAGACTCAAAGGAGAGATTGTGCATCTGAAAGCATGTACCCTTTTTTTTTTTTTTTTAACTCTGGCTTTATCATACAAAACTAAAAAAAATGAATACACTGACGTTAACACTGTGCTCAGAACCAGGCTGCGGCTCTGTATAGTCTTTCAGATACAGTCAGCACAAACTCTGGTTGGATCAAAGCATCTCCTGCAGCACCAACAGGCAAAAAGACCTGCTGCCCAGCACATCTCCCTGCTCCTCCAAACTTCCCTGTGACAAACACTGTTTTCTGCAGCAAACCGTTTCCACTCCAGTATCCCAAAGTATCCGAGAGTGACTGTTGCCCTAGCGAGTCCGGGAAATAGGTAACAATCTGCGCACAAGGCTTACCAGGTGAGAGCTGGCAGACACTGCAGTAAGGTTTCCCTCCTGGGTCTGTCTCCGTAAGTTGTAACACCTTGCCAGGCCCTATCAGAGCAACCTGGTTTCCGCAAGAATCCTTACGATGGGGTGGCACCGGCAACCTGAGGTGTGGTCGAGGGACAGGGAATAAGGATAGGAGGGGCTGGGAGTGAGATGCGAGGTCACAGGAAAGAGCAGCAGGACTGCCTAGAGAGCTGGGAGCGTGGAGGAGGCGATGGCCGGCTGCCGTCGCCACCTCAGAGCCTGGCTTCTCAAGGAGGTGCCTTACATCGGCCAAACCGAAGCATTGCCTGTTTCGTGATACGGCGTTCGCTAAAGGAAGATCGCTCCCGTTGGCTTTCTTATCCTGCGTTTCTTCAGCTTCCATACTAAGCTGCCCTATATTCACAGTCGTGCTTGATCCTGCTAAAATGGGCAAACCTATGTGTTCCCAGGCTTGTAATGTTGAAAATCCCACGTTCTCTGGAAGTTTCCCTGTCTCCATACTGTAAGGCTTTTCTGACTGTGCATATATAACGTTTCAGTTGATTAATACTGTTTGTGCAATTTGACCATAAGTGGCTCTGGGCTGAGCAGTTATTGGATTTGCTAGCATAAATAGCAGTGCTTATTTGAGCCTAAATTATTTGTAGATGCGGAGCATGCTCACTTCCTCCACCTTTTTACCATCTTCCCCAATTAACTTTCATTTCTCTGTTTTGTTGCAGAGCAAGGAAGTAGGATTGCAGCTCCAGGAAGACTTGATGAAGGTCTTGAATGAACTCTACACGGTAAATCAAACTGACTTCTTGGCATCTTTTCAGGCAGAAGGAAGAAGCGTTTGACTTCTCCCAGCCTGCTGTCCTGCTGTTACAGCAGGGACTGAGCAGCAAGACTGATAAATGTCTGCAGTCTTTGCAGTTTGAGGCAGTTTATGTTCACCAGTCTACAGAGCGCCATAAATCTTACTTTTTCACTCTATCCTTATATTGTTTCAGCTCTGTAAGTGTTGGCTCCCCTTCTCAAAGATCTCACCTTAGCACATACCTGCTACTAGCAGCAGTGTTGGTTTTAAAAAGAGTAAGAGATACTAGAATTATTTCCAAATGTGCTGAAAATCTTCAGTCCCTGGTTTTGTGTGGTCTGAGCATACAAAAGGCAGCATACAGCTTCAGCGGGGGGACCCACTGTGTTTATTTGTTCCTCAACTCTTTCAGCAAAACAGCTCCCTTTAGAGTAATAGTCTTCCATCTGCGCTTTTTTGCTTCTCAGTATATCCATTGGAGACACCAAGAAAGAGGCATTGCCTCGGGAAGGAGAAGGAATGTGTTCATAAAAGTTCATATGCTGCTTGGGGATTTTTCTCCTTGTGTAGATGAATGGAAAAGCCTGTTGTTTGATTAAATTTTTGCTTTCTGCAGCTGTTATCGAGCTAGTTCTTGTTTTAAAAGCAGAACCTACACACGGTTTTGTTGCTCAAAATGTCTTTTCTTTCGTCCTTCCCTAATGATACATTGGGTCATTACACTGAGGTACATGTTATTTCCTTCATTCTTTCAAAAGATGATCCAGGGATGTTTCTCAAGCCATGGCATATCAATCTTGAGATGAAATTCAGTATTAATATCAATGCTAGAGTATGGGGGGAGGGTGTCCCTGAAATTTCTCATATCAACAAAAGTTACAGAAGGGCATTGTTTCATTAGAGCATCATAGCCAAATATTCAGACTAATCTTTTAGAAAAAAGGGAGCTTAGGAGTAGGAAAAGGGAATTCATTATGCACCAATGTTCTTGCTGCCAAAATGGCAGTCGAAGAGGTGAGACTGTGAATCCAGTTTATGATTTTCCTCCTTTTCTGCGTTAGAGCGTTTAGCATTACTGAGTCTTTTCTGTGGGCAAAGAGTGTTCGTGTTCCTCGATGGGAAAGCCAAGCACGAGCGTTACAGTGGAAGCTGGAGGCATTTTGAAGCTGACCTGTGGTTGGATGTACTGTCGCTGTAGTTGTTACTACAGCCTTGGTTTACAACAGTGTGAGCAAACTGCATCGTGCTCGTGTTCCTGAAAGGCAGAGAATTTACTTTGGGTATAAAGGTGGCTTTGTAAATGCAGCAGTGCCTGTCAGCAGTGCTGCCTACTCTAGAAATTATTTTTTATTTGAGGGCACAATCTGATTCAACTTTTGAGTCATGTACTTGGATGGGATCCGAAGGAAGAATATAGAGCTGTCTCTAAACACAGACTTTTAGGAACTGAGGTTTATTTCTAATCCAAGTTCACGTGGCACTGATAAGGTTGATAAGTTGATACGTTGATAAGACTGGTTAGTGGAGCTTACATAGACATAGGTAATCATTTCTGCATGCCCAGCTCTGACAGATCATGGAGCCAGATACTGAGTTCTGATAATTTCTCTATCACTGGAAGTAAGATATTCCAGAATTCGGCCTTTGATAAGCAAAGCTGGGGTATTAACTTTTTTAATATCAGTGCTAGGAACTTGATATCTATTTATGCATTAATTCTGCTCTAAAATTTTAAATGGTCCCTTCACCAGAAAATTTCTTTTCCTTTGAAAAAGCCACTTCTGCTGATCATATTAAAAGATATTTCTTGCTGGACTCAATTTAATCACTGGTGGAATTGCTTTCATTGGTACTTTACGACAGACTCCACAAACTAACCTCTTACTCTGCTGGCTAGCTAAAGGATTGGCAGAATTAATATTTTCAGGCAACATGCACATCCGTGAAAATGGTTTTTTCACAGATGAAATCGAGAGGCTTGTTACTTGTACGTTTTTGTCCTGAATTGTCCTGTGCGATCCGTCCTTGACTGTGCGCTTGCCCTCAGCAGGCAGCAGTGAGCCAAGAGTAACCCCATCACCAAGCACGGGGCAGGCAGAGCTTGTGGTTGCCAATGTGGCGCTGTCAGCAGGAGAAAATCATTAAAATTGTGATTTCTTTTTCTGCTTCTCTTGCTTTCTGCCAGTTCCACTTGCAGTGATAGAGGGAAAGAAACTACTTTGCATCTATTATTATAAATGCCTGCTTTATAGTCTAAGCATATGCAGGAGCTGAAAGCGTGTGTGTGTAAATTATTCAGAAAGTCTCTCTTTAATACTGGCTGCGTTCACATTCTCTTTCATGTTTAAATACAATGTCTCTTTGTATCTGAGAACCTTTGCTGATCACTGCATAAAGAGAGAGCATGCATCCTACTTATGTAAAATTATGTTATGGTTCAAACTAAGGTGAAATAGGTATAAATGGGTTTTCATCTAAAATAAATCAAATTATTTTCAAGTGGGATCTTTATTAGTGCTGGAACAACACTATTGGGGTGTCTTTATGCAACTTTGCATTATTTTGGCCCCCTATCGAAATTATATCATCATAATGTTTGCTTTGGTATGTGAATTGAATTGCTTCGTGATCGTGGATAAAAAGTTTATATATTATGCCCTTTGGTTTTTTAGCTCTGTTTTCTTAACACAAAGCTAGACATGAATATCCTGTGAAACAAATAGGCGGGTTTTGGTGACTTCAGGGGATATTTATCTATACTTACTTATAAAAAATGTGCTATAATAAAAGTTGTCCCTATAGTACAGGGTCCAGGTCTCCCTGAGCAAAAGAACCACACTCTTTTATTAATATTTTTATTACATAAGGTGAACAGAGGTGCTTTTACATATCAAATTTGATTTAAACAAATCGAACCTGAGTTGCTTTTGCAGCCATTGTGTTCAGACTATTGATTTGCATCTAGTTCCTCAAGACTTGTGATGTTTAAAGGACTGATTCATCCAGATGAAAGACTGATAGGCATCCCTTCCGAAACCTTACCTGCTGATGAAAAGCTATCATTTTCCAACGTTGGCATGTAATTTTCTTTGAATAGTAAGGAGGCTGGATTTAGTCTGTATCTTTTTTTGGGTTTTATGACTCCTTTATTGGGTTGTACAAGAAGGCGCATGCCAGAGTTAAACAAAGAGGCAGCTGCAAAATAATCCACTCTGTTTTCAGATTTCAGATTCATTTTGAGAGCCAGTTTCATTCGTGCATCTTCTGTCATGCTTTTCGGAGATGTGAAATTTCCCTGAAATTTTGCCAGCTTAGATATTTCTAACTCCCAACTAGCAACCAGACTTGCTGGTCACTGTCCAAATGCCTTTGCTTAGTTAGTATCATATCTTGCGTTGAATATAAACGTGATGGACAGCTACTATGAAGTAGTTATGTTAAAGAAACTTACACTTTTGGGGAGTGCGTTGGCCAAATTTAAACAAAAAAAGGTGTTGAAGCTTATGACTACTTTCTTAGGATTTTTTCCTCCCTCCTAGCCTGTGAGCTTTCCAGAAATACGTGTAACTGTTCTCCCTGAGACTTGGTGGTGCACATGAAGTAAGGCAAAACATCTGTATGCCTAGTTGGTAGGTGAGCCCATTTCTTCCTCAGCACATCACACTGTGGTGCTCTCTGATGTTTGTGTATCATTTTCTGCAGGTTATGAAAACCTACCATATGTACAATGCTGACAGCATTAGTGCTCAGAGCAAACTGAAAGAGGCAGAGAAGCAGGAAGAAAAGCAGATTGGGAAGTCGGTGAAACAAGAGGACAAGCAGACGCCACGCTCCCCTGACTCAACTTCCAACGTCAAGTTTGAAGAAAAACACGTTCGACGAAGCTCTGTCAAAAAAATAGAGAAAATGAAGGAGAAGGTACTTCCATAGTACTGCTGCTGCTTGTGTAGAGTGCTTGAGGAGGGGCCCTTTGCAGTAATTCAGCACAGGAGCTACTGAGTTCCCTCCTTTGTGACATTCAAATGCAAGTCTCAGGTTTTGTACGAGTTTTAAAGGTGCAGATTTAGGAAAGACAAAAGCTAGCACCAGGTTTGTTTTAGGACAATCAAATACACATTTTGTATTATCCCAGGTTATACAGGCATGGCATAGAAAGCTAAAACAAGGTTAGAGTATGAAAGTAGCAACTGCTCTCTTGGAAGTCATGGTTAACATATTTTTTTCTTGTACAGAGTGCAAGATTTTTGTTTACCATTTCATGCCAGCTTAAGAGCTGCCCTGTGCTACAGATTTGCAAACCCCAATGACTTCATGGGCAGAAGCAGTTGCCTTAGCAATCAGTCAGTTAAGTAGTTCAGTGCTAAGATTCAAGCCAATAGAAGGTGAAGAGTTATTTCTGGATTGATTTGGGCTCTGAAAGGACCAAGTTTAAGTCTAATTTCTGCTGGAAGAGGTGGAGTGCCTGCTGCAGCCCTCATGCTACCCATGGGCTTCTAGCAGCCGCTCTGGTAGTTCTGGAGCTGGGCCGTAACCTCATAAACCCACCTCGTTTCTTCATTCTTCCTTTAATCTTCCCCAACTTGCTGTCTGGTTTAAGAGAAGACTTTCAATGCAAAGCTGTCTAGTATAGACAGTAGACAGTAATAGACAGTAATGCTTAAAAACATCTAGATAATTAATCTGAATTCTAAGTCTTTGAGTCTTGATAAAACTTGGAATAAAACCGTGTGAACAGGATAAGGTTTGTTCGGTATACTCTGGCGTTACTGAGTGTGCTACTACTTCTACTGCACCTATTTTTAAAATATATACTGTTTTTGGTTTCGCTTCTAGCGCCAAGCGAAGTACACAGAAAATAGACTGAAGGCTATCAAGGCAAGAAACGAGTATCTGCTAGCTCTGGAAGCCACCAATGCATCTGTATTCAAGTATTACATCCATGACCTGTCTGATCTCATTGATGTAAGTGCTGCTGCTTGGGTGCCTGCAATGAATATCATTGCCATTAAGCCTCACACCTGCCCCTCCTTCTTCAACATCTTATATACCAGCACAGCTGGTAACCTCTGTACAGCTGTGGAACGACGGTCTTGGATGGGCAGCTCAGAGGGTGACAACAGGCATGATAACTGGTCATGAAGCTCTTAATTGAGCTTTTCTTAGCTGGCTAACTCAGAGTTTGTTGCACAGGTAGAAGCTTGCACAAGAAACCTGGCATTGAAACATGTATAAGGAGGAGTTGCTTAGTTAAAATGAAACTCAGCTTCAGTATCACACTGCTGCTTGACATTTTCTATTTACTATTTTAAGCCAACCCGCAAGATTGTAACTCAGAAGCACATTTAAAAAAAGAAGGTTAATTGTAGAAACAGTATACCAGTTGGTAAAAAAATGGAGGACAGAAGCATTTTCTAAAGCTGCTTTTAACTCGTTTTGAAAAATTCCATATATTTCAAGGCTAATGCTTTCTCTAGCATATTTCACAACACATTTCACAATTCCCTGTTTTTTAGACTTTCCGTTCCCTGATACCCCGACCCACCAGCTCTACAGTAACTTCATGCATTTCTTCTGTCATCAGGACTGCAGAACACTTTCAGTCCAGTTCTGAAAGGTGTCCGAGGAGTGTCAACAGTGATGGACGTTCCACTGTTTGCCACTCCGCAGTCTCTCTGTCTAAGCAAAGAAACAAACTGGCTACTTTCCTAAGAATGTTCGCTGCAGAAACTGGGTAATGGAGCAGAAGGTGGAGGGAGCTTGCTCCCCAGCTGCCGGCAAGCCCTCTGTTCCGCAGCTGAATGATGCCCCCAGTACGCAGGGGGCATCAATTCTGCTTTTAGTAAAATGCACAACAAAACCACCCCAAATCTCTCCTCTTTGGAAACTCAGAAAAGCCAGTTAGGAATCCCAAGGTTTTTCACAAATGCATAACTACCCACTTCAACCTGCAGAACTAGAGTACCAAATGCACTGAACGCGTTGTGTCGGGGTCACTGACTGTTGCTTGATATTATTCTGCTTGCCAAGGACAGCCCGCTGCCGTCACTATTAGAAACACTCAGCTGCAAAGCCTGAAGGGAACTTTCTTTGTAGGAAGAGGGAGTAATGAACAGAAGTGTCTCTAGACACAGGCAGTAAAGAGCACTCAACTCGCTATTAATTAGTCAGCTATTACAATACATAACAGTATATATAATGTATTTGTTCAACTGATCATAAAATCACATGAAGTGCACTTCTGCTAGGTATTTATTTAAACCTCTCCTTTGGAGGTCAGGATTGTCAGTGCTAGATAGTTTTGAAAAATACTGTTAATTCGAAATGCCGTGTTCTGCAGAATCACTGTACTGAAGAGACATGTTTGGTTTATACCTGCTGCCTGCTTAGGAGACCTTTTCTGGTTAACATTCGCTCAACTTGAACTGTGCCATCTCATTTTTTAAACAAATGATAACTTTCTGATATTGTTGTATTGAAATGTACAAGATAGGCATTCATTTCTCTGACATCAGTGTAGTTCAGTTGTCTTAATTTTTTCTTTTAAAAACCTATCTGTAAGTCCTCCCCCAAATACTGCAAATGTGCTTGGTTCAGTTGTCTGCTAACAGACTGCTCTTAGTACATTTTCATGAGTGATATATATAGTAAAGAATCCATTTGGATTTCATAAATCCCTAACAATTTTTAAGCACAGACCTGAGATGTTTCAGTAGTGCACTGACAAATGTAGGTTACCCAGCTTTGAAGGAAGTGCTGCTCTCGCTAGAGGGTCTCAGCCGGCTCTGGGGCATGGTAGGCAGTGCTGCAAGACGAGAAGCAGCCAAGCTTCTGCAGCACGTGGATTTGTCGCTGCTCCTAGAGAGGAGCCATCGTGACTCTGGGTGAGCCTGTGCCCATGTTAACCCCCTTGTGTTCCTTGAAGCTTTCAATTTAACGCTACATTGCAAGTTCTCATAATCTTTAAAAGTATTATCTCCCCTGTTTTCAGAAGGCATGGAAAGATGTGCGACTTGCCTGGGAGCACAGAAGATGGAATTTGGTTATCTCATTGTTAAGACGCAGGGAATATAGGTTTATTTTTGATCCTGAAGGATCAAAAATTAACAATTATAACCCGTGATGGTTATCTGAAGCATCTCACTTAAATAAAAATGAGATTTTTAAGTTAGGTCTTAATTCTTTTCCTTGATCTAATCATTTGATGATATTGAATTTTGAAATATAATATAGAAGCAATCTTCCAAGTTACTTACGAGTAGATTGTGTTAGGCCAAATAGCATTGAACTTGTCATGTTTATACAACACATTGTGTTCCCCCTCCAACGTGCACGGAAGGATAACGGTGAGTTGATTCTTCATTGTGAGTTAAGACCAATAAATTGTTCCTGACATAGCGCAGTAGTTTTGAATTTCCTGACTTTGGGGACTGAGGCAGCTCTTTGATGCTAATGAAATACTACAGTAATGGGGAAGTTTGTATTAATTCATATTTATGAAAGAGTCACTAGGACAGAATTTAAAAAAAGATGAAAACGCGTGTGTACGTGTGAGTCCTAAAGCTTACTTCACTCTTCTAGGAGTAAGTGTACTATTGCTGCTTACTCCAGGACCTCATATTTTCCCTTCCAAATGTAAATTGCATTTTAAAACAGAGGGCTCTCTCTCCTTAAATCTTCTATTTTGGGCCCGTTTGAAAACAGCTAACTGGCAAAGGGTTAATCAGCTGTCGTGTTTGGAAGTGAATTTGAATGCGTTATCATTAAATTCTTATCAAACACCGATTTCCTTGGAGAACGATTCCATCAAACATTTATATAACCCAGAAAAGGGATGGCAAGAGTGAAACATTTATAAATGCGGTATGCTGGACTTTTTAAATGTTAAAGTGGGGGAGTGGGCTGAAAAACGTTTTCTGTCACTGGCTTCAGTAACATAAAGCTCAAAATCTTTGCCATCATAACGCAGTCCTGCTGCTCAGCGAGGTGGGGTGTAAAATATTAAGTCCCATTTGACTTTCCAGTCCCACTGGTGACCTCCCCTTGTGCAGCAGATCAGCTTTCCTTCCGGACGCGGACGCGTGCCGGAGGAGGGCGAGTGCGGGGGGGACAAGCTGCTCGCCCTGGGTGGGTGTGTGACCGTCTGGCCCACAGGAGGAGGAGAAAAGGAGCGACTGCTCCTGTTAAATCTGAGTGATCCTAATCCTGGCTGGGCTGTTGGCCCAACTGGGACTAGCTTGCCCCAAATTGCTGCGGAGGATGGCACTGGAATGTGCATGCAGAGGAGCACTAGCTTTCAGTGGCTGTTGATCCAAGACTGCTTCCACACGTGCAAATTCTCAATCAAGTGTCTTTTGTTTTTTGGGCGCTTTTTTTTTTTTTTTTTTTTTTTGGCTAGTTTTCGTTCTTTCTGATTGAATGTAATGTCCTTTAATTCTCTGCCTCCAGCCTAACCAGCAACTGCAGCTCTTTTTACAAGACTCCACACCTGCCACAGCTTGTTGGCATAGGAGCCAGGCATCTAGCAGCACTTGGTGACAGAAATTCTGTGAAAGCGGGGAACGGTCCAGTAGTTTCTCTCTCTTCTCCCTCCCTCCACCCCTCCTCCCCCCCCTTTTTTTGCGTTTGCACACAATGACAGTGATGAGACCCAAATGATGGCTGAGGAGGAGATTTCATGTGAATTTTGCTTACAGAGCAGCACAGCAATCAAGCAGATGGTCTCTTTCTTTTTGGATATTCTCCTAGCATATGTAATCTTGCTTGTAATTCCAAGAAGGTGGGCTCCTCTCTCGCTCACTTTATTAGATGTCTGAAAAATTCAGGCTGTTTCTGATCAGCTAATGAAAAGCGCCTTTCTCCCTCCTGAAACATTAAGACTTGGCTGCGCAGCCGTGATTGTCTTCCAGTGACATCATCCTGGTGTCAGTAATAGCCAGGAAATTCTTGACCACGACCGCTTTCTGCTTGCAAGTTTTTGCTCTTCTGTTTCACCCCAGCAATGAAGTCATCCCAACTGATGGCTGCTTGCTTTTTGGATGACTCTGTTCTTTACGCCTGTGATGTACAGGTCATGTTCTTGCTTCCTGAAGTACACTGAATTAAGCAGTTTTCTGTATCTTGGGTGGAATAATTTAGATGCAAAATAACCTTTGCAGATGATCCAAATCCTGTGTCTTGTTTCTCCAGGTAGTGCTTTAGTGCATCGTTTTCCTCTTACTTTGAATATTTATTTAAGGATTTTGGAGTGTTTTCAATGGGAATCAGCGCCCCTGAAAGTAAGGTTAGAATCTAAAGAAATACACTGGACTTACCCACTTCTAGGTTACTTTTTGGTTTTTTAACAGCATAAAATGATCTCTCCAGTACTCCAGGAGAACTCCGCAAAGTGTTGTAATAGTTATAAGCCGTACTTGTCTTGGAGACTAATTGTAACATGATGTTGAAATTCATATGGGATTAGAGGTTGAGAATTCTGTTTAGGGCCAACCCCGAGGACCCCAGTCAAGATGCCTCTGTGATCAGCGAGAGATGTGAGACCGCTCTGGTACCCAGAAGATGATAAAATATCTGTGACTTGTTATCCGTTTATGTAACTTCTGGCTCTGGAAACATTTTAGTTTCCACTACAGAATTTCTTCACTTATTCATATGGAATTGTGTGTCTTTTTCCAGCAGTGTTGTGACCTGGGATACCACGCTAGCCTCAACAGAGCTCTCAGGACATTCTTGTCTGCTGAGCTAAACCTGGAGCAGTCAAAGCATGAGGGTCTGGATGCCATTGAGAACGCCGTTGAGAACCTGGATGCCAACAGTGATAAGCAGCGCCTGATGGAGATGTACAACAACGTCTTCTGTCCGCCCATGAAGTTCGAGTTTCAGCCGCATATGGGCGATATGGTCAGTTTATATTCCTCCTCCGGCTCTAGCTCTGTAAACACTTGCAGCTTCGCCTGTTTACTTCCCTCGTTTTTGATAGATAGACCCACTAAAAGGCCACCTGTTTGGCTCTATTTTTGGGAGGTAGAAGGGAGCCTTGGAAAAGGGAGCTGATTTGAAGATTAAGCAGAGGCTCATCGCACAGATGTCTGAATACGACTGACTCACTTTTTGACTATCAAAGCTAATGATGAAAATGCTTAATTATGTATGATACTAAATGTAGATAGGAAACACTGGTTTAGCCTCTAGTTCAAGCCACAGTTAACCTCTGCACCCTGAGACGCACTCTGAAGGTAGAGATTTGAAGGGGCAGCAAGGCAAGAGGCTGAAATGCTGGGTGTTTGAGGCATTTGAGTGTGTAATCTTAGAGCACAAATGGTTTATAGTGGTGCATAAAGCATCTTCATTGTGAGACAAGACAGTCAGAGGACTTTCATTTTTGGCAATGAAAATCTCTCCCTTTATAGGTTTATCAAGATGTGGTTACTTCTCTGGGAACTGCTTAAAGTCGCACAAGCGGAAACCGGTTCACAAATCTAAATGGGAACACATGTACAATGTAATAATTTAGGTCAATTGGTTGGATTTCTAGATTATCCTCCTGAACGCTGAGGAAAAACTGTAAGGATGGTCTCTTGCAGCCAGCCTCTTCTTACAGTCGCTGCTTAAGGCTTCTCTTTGTCTCTTCCCTCTTAAGTGAAACCCTCAGACTGCAAATGACCTTTCTCGGTTTTTCTGTGCTTTGGTAGTATCCTGTAGGATCATGGGAAGAAAAAGAATTACCTGCGGACTGTCATTCAGTTAACAGCTCACATTCACTGAATCATTTATCTTGGTTCTTCTCAAGGCTGAATGAGCGCTTATAAATGCGGGCTGATGGTCTTGTTGCAGTGGTCCTGCCTGCATGTAGCAGATTGAGTATGTGATGGTATATGTGCATGTGCGTGATAGAACTCCAATTCCAATTTCTGTCTTTAAACAATAGCCTTGTGCAATGAGGTCAATGTTTTCCTTTAAAAAAAAAAAAAAAAAACAAAACCAAATACCAAACTACAAGGAAAAGCTGCCTCATGCTGTGAAGTAAGACTAATTCTTAACAGTACAGGGAAGCCCACTGTTCTGGCATATTTGATGGGTTCCTAACCTGTTCTTTATTTATTTCGACTTTGCTGTGTTCATTAAATAGTGAATCGTACCTGTTGCTGTAGTGTACAGGTAGTTCAGCTGAGCAAGCTCAGCCACTCATACCCCTGCCCCAGGATGCCTGGATAATATATTGAACCAAATTTTTCTTGATGTGCTAACAAGCCCACTCACTTCTCCTTGAGGTTTTAGGGTGTGATTTAGCCTAATGCCTGTGATAGAGGACCTTCAGACTTTCAAAACTCATGGCAAACTTACATTACTGAAAGTAGCTAATTTTTTCCAGTTCTTCTTTGATGTTCATGTTCTGTCTCTTGCTCACTTTTCAGCACAGTCGGGAAGTGAACTGCAATTTGGTAGAACACAGGCCTTTCCCGCCGGTTGAAATCCAGGGCTACAGAGATTTAAAATTAAGCATTTTGAAGGATGTTTGTTTGTAACAGTATAATGGACTATTCGCAATGTTCTTAATTATGTGGGTTTTTTTTCCCTAGCCCTCTGAAAATGGTGCTGTTTCTCTTCCAGGAGTCACAGCTGTGTGCCCAACAACCAGTCCAGAGTGAGTTAGTGCAGAGGTGCCAGCAATTGCAGTCTAGATTATCTACGCTTAAGATTGAAAATGAAGAGGTGAGCTAAAAACCAAAATCAACAACCCTTTTACTGCTTCCAGTGAGGAGTGGGGACTAATTAAGGAAGAATCTAGTTTCTGTGATCCTCTTTTATGAAGACTTGTGGTAAAATTCGAGAATAAGGCAACTGAGGCCAGCAGTATAACCGTGTGTGATTTCACATGAAAACTGGGTGCACGGAGAGGATCCTTTAAAATACCCGCACGTATCTTTTCCCATCCTTAAGTTGATAGGGCTGGCTGTGTTGCAGAAGTTGTATTTGAATAGCTAATAGAAAAAGGGGAATTTAATGTTTTGAAGTGAAGACAGTGAATTTGCATAACTTAAGGTAAGAGGTAATTTTTGTTTAATTGGTTATCTAAGATGAGAAAGCTAGGTCAATGGCATTTGTTTGGGAACAGGTCAAAATACATCATCTGCACCTCTGTGTTCAAGCATTTTTAATCCTCCTTGGGCAAAATTTGCAACTCCTTTATGTCTAGGAAGTTGATTCTGGCCTTCAGTAAAAATTCACAGTGCTGCAAAGTCCGGTTTTTAATATCTAACATTTGATGCCCAGTAGATGTAGTTACAGAAGACGATTATACGACCTTTGTTCCAGCGCTCTTTGCTTTGAGGTTAAATTTCCTTACATCTCCTCCTCATCCCAGCCTGTAAGATTACAGGTGTCTTCCTACTCCTGGCAGGTTCTGTGTGCTGCCAGCCTCTGTTTATATGGACCGTGCTGTTAATGAGCAAAACTTGCACCTTAGCTATGGCACACAGGATGTGAAACCAGTAATATCTCTTTATTAGTAAAATGCTCCAGGGTACTTACTACCTCTGTTTTTTTACTTGCAACATACTATCTTCATTTTTTAAGTTCTCTCGTTCTTGCTGGACAGGTTAAGAAGACTATGGAAGCCACACTCCAGACAATCCAGGATATAGTCACGATAGAGGACTTTGATGTCTCTGACTGCTTTCAGTACAGCAACTCTATGGAGTCTGTTAAATCCACTGTCTCGGAAACATTCATGAGCAAACCGAGCATTGCCAAGAGACGGGCCAACCAGCAGGAGACAGAGCAGTTTTATTTCACAGTAAGGAGTTAATTTTCAGTATAAGCACATATAATGTATTTAGAATTAGACTCACGAGAGAGTGCAAAATGAGGCTATCATCTTGCAGAAATGCTTCTGTAATTGATTTCGGACAAGCAGAGTAAGCATATTAGGTTTTAAAAATGGCTGCTTTGAATTCTTTACAAATATATTGGGATACCTTTGTTGATGCAAACTCGGTCTGTGGATAAATTGTGTAAAATTTGATTTCGTCTGCATCTAAAAAGGAATTGTCTGAGGAAGAACTTAATAGCTTGTAAATATCAATTTTCAAAAGTAATACAAACTAAAGAATGTTTAGCTCTTTCGCTTCTTGTTATTATCATGTTACAATTTCAGCTCACAGAAGCTTTTAATTGTGTCGATGCATTTTTTTTACAAGATGCTAAGAGCTTTTTATATTGACTTTCATACCAGACTACGTTTTTCCTAAATTAGGTTTATGTTAAACTGTTGAATTTGCTTCCATTTTAAAAATATTTCAAAATAGCAGATGAAAATCGTAGCGCTGATCCTGGTTACTTTGTCAGTCCTTCAGGCATCTTTTGCTATACATGCTGCCCTTTACATTCCTCTTCCAAGAATGGTGTTGCTGATTAAAAGTCTGAAGTTTCTGTGCAAATTACACTAGCTGGCAGGATGGTTTCTGTCAGGCCTTGACTTAGAAAAATGAAAAAGCCTTTGTAGAAGGTGAAACTGGCTATTGAGAAAAGTGGGTGGAGAAAGTGATTCAATTAAGAAGGGATTGACCACCCTCCCCAGGGTTCTGAAGCTAGAAAAATGATTTTTTAATTGAACTCTAAGCGTTCCCCCTCTAGAGAGGGACTACTGCAAGTTCAAATGGGAAACCGAACCCAGGACTTTATTTGGATGTAATATTTTTCCGTTTCATCACGTGAGTATCCTGCTGCAGAGCAGTGGGGTCCCGGCAGGACTGCGGAGCCGTCTCAGCGCGCAGAGGTGCAATCTGCCGTGTCCTGCGCAACGTGGGTAAAATAACTATCAGCGGAACAAAGCTGTTTACGGAGCCCTCTAACCGGCCTAAGCAGATGCTTGATTGATCGACTATCGACCGGACTTACAAATATCCTTTACAAGGATTTCCAGCTTTGAATCTATGAGGAACAGTTTTTCCAGCGTATGAGAAAACGCTCAGATGAGTATTAATGAGACTGAGGACAGAGCTGTGTAGCAATATGGGCGAGGCATTCTTTGTGTAGGGGGAAAAAAACAGTGTAGTGCAGAATGGAGATTTAAATCCCCTCGTACCTTATGGTGTGCTAAATGCTGAGGGATATGAACTGAAAGAAAAATACTAATTTGAAAGAATATTGCATATTCCTATGTAACTCGAGTTGGAAATTCCACGTACTGCGTCGCTAGCTAGGCAGAGCTCTTGGGTAAATACAGCGATGCCGCCATGGGAATTTAATTGAAGGAGAACTGACTGTAGCATCTCTGTGCTGGTATAAGCTGTATTTCCACTAGAGGCATATTGCTGCACGCTGGTGCCGAGATGGCTCTGTTGTTAGGGCTTTGAAGGCAGATTTGTATTCAGAACAGAAGCTTAAACTTCCCCATGTCAGTGAGAAGCACGGGAATGACGACTGACTTAGCGCTGAGCTAACGCAGGTAGCCAAAGCAGGGAAGCAGCAGTGACTTCAGGGAGCCGAAATCCGGGGATGCGTCCTGGGTGCCTGGCAGGGGGGTTCCGCCGCTGCCCTGGCTGCAGTCCCGATTCCTCAGCCAGCAAAGTCGGGGCTCGCGCGAGGATGCCTGTCAGAGCTGAAATCCTGCTGCTAATTGTAATACAGCTGGCGCCCCGCCCTACCTGAGGAGTGAAAAGGGGAGTGAATGATTGGATTCTTTTCACCTCTAAACGGGGATAATTTTAGTTCTTAGTCGAAATGTTCTTTTTTTCCTCTAGAAAAGAATAAAACCCGGTACAATGCTCGTTCTGTGAAGTGCTTTAAAAATTAATGTAAATTTATTATTACCAAACCCTTAAGACATGGGTAAGTATCACATGGAGTTCCCCTGCTAATCGGTCCCGCAGGAACGCCGCGTTGGTGGTGTCAGTGTGCCGCTGTTCCCACGCTGGGTCGCTGGCAGCGGCGCAGGGGAGCGGGGCTGCGCTTCAGCCGCTCCTTCCATCCAGGGCCTTGGCTGCCGTCATTCCTGGGGGGCGGAGGGAGGGAGGGAGGAAAACTGCTGAGCTTCCCGGATCGGAGACAGCTAAGGATGTGGGACAGCGACAGAACCTGTTTTTCTTTATAGCCCCAAAAGCATAACATCTCCTTTCCCACAAGGCAGGAAGATCCGTTCGAGTTTGCGTTTTGCTTCATTCTGTATGCCACCTGACAGCTCCTTCTCGCTGGAGAAACACTGCAGTGTGTTTGGGCTTGGAGAGGGTGTCAGAGTTGCAAAGTTTGAGGAGATGGCAGGTGCAAAATGCTCACCGTCTCTGCCTAGTAACAGATCTTCACCTCTTAATTTTTACAATGGGGAAATAACGTGACTTGAGGACGTTTCTCCTGCTTTGTGTCTGATTGCGCTTAGTCTGACTCCAGCTGTGCTCTGCCAGAAATGAAATCCTGAGGAGTTCTCCCGTAGTTCGATCTGCCTCTCCCCCCTCACCCCCCTTGACTGCTTTTTTTAAGCCAGAAATCAAATGCTAGTGGATCTGTGTAATTCATTGAAAAAAGCCTGAAGCCCGATTCTGAAATGACTTATTTCTTCATAAGCGTACTGGTAACAGGCAGGGTACAGAATGTTAGGCATGAGGAAATAGAACGCATGAAATACCGCACTGGGTAAGAACCCTGTCTTTTTCTCCTTTCAAGCAATCCCTGGTACCTGTCTGCGGGCAGGCGATGTTCTCAACGCGACCGCGGCGAATGCCGCAAAGCCGGAGCGAGCATCTGCGAGTGCCGGCAGCGTTGCCCTCCTGCCCCGCGCTGCACCGCAGCCACCAGCAGGCTGGGCTTGAGTTTTTATATCTGCTTCAAAGGGAACCTTAACTCCCTTCCAAATCAAGTTGACTTCTTTAAGCTTCTGTTAGAGCTATTTGGAGCTGTGCCTTCCAGCCCTTCTGTCTCTTCGCCTGATCGTGACTTTGAGACGGGGAGCTCGGCACCTCCCAGAACCAGATTTATCCTCACTTCAAATTCTCCGGTTATTTTTGCAGCTTATACCCTTCATGTTTTCTTCTGTCAAAATTTGATGCAAAAATTTAACTGATTTAGCAAAATACATAGCTGGGGCTTGGTGAACAGATTCTACAGGAAAATTCTGAGAAATATAGTTAATTTTTTTTTTTTGTCACAGTGATCATGCTTCCTGTTTTCTTCTAAAACAACAACAACAAAAAGTTGAAGTATTACTATAGGAAGCAGGAAGTGCTGAGAGTCTCCAAAGGGACTTAATTCTTGTGAAATTTTTCTTCCAATGTTGTCAACCAAAGGGACGTAAAGGACAGGCTTTGGCAGTGAATTCAAGCCCCAGCTCAGCCATTTTCGTCGTGTCAGTACACGCTGCTGCTGGGCAGCCCCTAAGGGAAACTCCGGTAGCTCCTGGACGGTTCCCCCCACCCTCAGTAGTGTCGCAGTCTATGGAGATACTGCTCAGGCTCCAGGCACTCAAATACCTTTTTTTTTTTTTTTGCCTTAAGGATTTGCAGTCTAATTTGGCAATACTAGACCAGACCTGGAAGGAGGTGGATAGAATTGGGGAAAGGTGAAGACAAGAACTGGAACATTTCATTATTAAATGAGAATCCTTTTTGTGTTCTTTTTGCCAGCTGAATTTTAAAAATATCTCATGTTTCTAAAGAATGGCCTGTGGTATTTGAAGAGTTACGTGCTATTTATGTATTTTTGAGTGTAAACGTGTCCTAATTATACTGTGGACGGCTACCGTACAGCAGAATATTTTATGCGCTGCGGCACGGTGAAGAAAAATAATGCTGTACTGAGCTGCAAAATAAGAGATGAAAGAGCTGTAAAAAACTAGCATTTGCAGAGCTGTGAAAAATCAGAAGGAAGTGGGAAAAATGACTGCGTGATCGTATAATGTTTCACCAAGAGAACAAATCTGAACTTAAATAATATCTTTATTTGTTTTGTCCCGTTCCCCCCCCCAGCAACCCTGTGTATCATCCAGCGTGGAGGCAGACACGCTGTTTGACAAGCAAAGTGGGGTGAGAGAGGTTAAGTGAGAGAATAAGCACAGTAGCAGCCTTTTAGTTTGTTACAACAGATTGCTCATTCAGTTGCCTGTGACGCGCGAGAGAAGCGCGTTTCCATTTCGCCCTGTCTGGAGAGGAGATGCATGACAGCTTCTCAGATGTCTAAAAGATGCCAAACATGGAGCCGATTCCACAGTGAAACAAAAGAAATTGCGCTGCAGATCCACATGGACCGAGCTTCAGATTTGCATAGATGCGTAACGCAGGACGACTTAGCGCATCTTTCACACTGCAGATTGCAGTGTAATTCTGGACTTCAGCATTATATTCAGGATCCAGTAACCTATAGATACAATCAAAGAAATTAATTGCCCACTCATGATCTTGGTTTTTTTTCATCTTCACAGAAAATGAAGGAGTATCTGGAGGGCAGGAACCTGATAACGAAGCTCCAAGCCAAACACGACCTTCTTCAGAAGACCCTGGGAGAAAGTGAGTCTGGGATCCGCTCGTCACTGCTATTAGCCAGGCTGTTGCACTCATTGAATTAGTCAGCTGACTGCGTGTAACGGTCCTGGGTTACTGATGGGAAGTGGACGTACTCATGTTTTATGAATTTATTTTTCTCATCTGCATGATGGGGAAGCCAGATGACCTACATGGCTGCTTGATTAATGGTGGACGGAAAATGCTTAATGAATCGCTAATGTACATCGCTTATTTGTTAAAATAATGCATATGCCCATTCGTTCATCCTGTCCCCTCCCCATACGTGTGCATTCTGCTTCTCACTTAATAATCTGTATTGGGGTAAACCTTGCGGTTTACGGTTTAGTGATTAGTTGAGAAGTATGGCCTTGTTAGGCTGGTCAGAAGTTTCATCTGCGTGGTAGTTTAGCTGCTTCTCACCTCTGCGGGTTCAGTCCGCACCAAACTAATGTATGTGGCAGGCTTTTATTAGGAGAATAACAAACACATTTCAGAGCATGTAAAATATGCTGCTTATCTAGAGGGCATTAGGCAAGGGGCAGCTGCCAGAACTCAATATGCATTTGCTGTTAGTGTCAGAACAAAGGAAGATTTCTTTCCCTTCATGGTATGGGCAAATCCTGTTGGCCAAACACGCTTAAACTATGCATCCAAGTTTCCATAGAAACCTGTCTGCCTCGTATTTGCAGAGGAGAAGGTTTTAACAGTCTAAATGTCAGGTCAAAAAATGGCTCAGCTCGCTCCTGGGTTTATATGCTGGAGCAGGACTTGTGTTTTGATATGTAACTTAACTGGACTCCCCACAGTTTATGGTGTGCAAATCTTCTGAATGAAAACTTCAACAGCATGTGGTCTTTGAAGTGCTTCGCTTTCAGTTTGAAAATGCACTATAAAAGCAAAATACTTGTTGCTACAGTAATTAAGAGTTTCGTGTTTATCAGACCCAAACCGCTGGAAGGTAAGGAAAGGATGTCGCTGTCGTTTTGAGCTTTATTGTTTGAAGTTGCTTGTCCCCTCAGCTGTCCTGTAGAAAGGGTGGATGAAGCCAAAGATTTGTGTCCTTAGGGTATTTTTCTTCTGCCTCTAAATATCTCCAAATGACACCCATGCTGCCCCTGTGACTAATCACGTTCCTGGATCATAGCTGACCTCTGCATACCGAGACCTATTTCCTCTTAACCTGCCTGCCCCTTGAACCCATCTGAAGCTGCGGTGGGGGGAAAAAAAGAGGAAATTAAATGTGATTTCTGTATTGCTGTGTAGATTTAAAGGCCGCTTCTGGGTTTTTCTGTGGCTGCTTTGCAATACCAGAGCTTTCTTAGTCGCTCTGTGAAGGGACCCAGTGTGTGTCAGGGTGAGCTCCAGCAGCTTCTGAAAAAAAATCACTTCTGTCATCTATGAGATCAAAAGGAGCTGAGAAAGGGAGGTACATTGTGTCTCCAAAACCACGTTAGCAGGTTAATGGTACAAACTGGGGACCACGCCTAGGCTTATCCATAAAATGTCACTTAATTGGGAAATGGGCAAATAAAATCCCTTTCACAACTCCCCGGAGCATGGTTAGAAGCTTTACTGAAAAATGCGCATAGAGCTGCGTGTCTTCGGTCCCTGGAAAACCCATGGTCTTGTTACGATTTTTATTCTTCTTTGCCCCATCCTCAGGTGACATTTATTAGTCCTCTTGCAAATTACCTTAATCTAAAGATGACACGTTCCAGTAATAAAAATAGCAGCAAGTCTTCCTATCTGCAAGTAATTATGTCCCTGCCTACTGTACACATTTGTCACCCTAATGTAGGAGCCCCTTGATGTTGCCGCAGCCATGTAATTTATATATATGAATATTCTATGATGGAAATGGGACAGATGGCTGGAAATTCTGCTTCAGAATAACATTTTCATGTAAATTATGCACTGTTTTGGCTTTACGTGGGGAGAGGAAAGTGGCTATCAAGATGTGTTCAAGTAATTGTCAGCCGTCAGCAGTTAGACGTTTCCCTTGTTCATTCTTCCGTCTCCCCAGGAGCAGGAAGACATCGGAGGGAAGGTGGATTTTCAGCTATTGTAAATCAGTATGGTTTCACTGACGATGATCTGTACCAGCAAAAGATTTGGCCTGTACAATTCCCAAAGGCACATACTAGTTTTCTGTCTCTCTTACTCCTTGTGCTATTTTAAAATGATGCCTGCATTAGCAGTAGTCGTTAGCTTGGCTGCTTCCTTGCAAACTCAGTGCAAGTTAATGGAACGCTTTTATAAATATGTTTGTGGAAAATATCATTAAACGTCTGTCTCCCAAAATAGCTTAATGCCAGCACGTTCAGTCTGTGGGCTAACAAATCCGTGAATGTTTTCAATCTTACTAAGTGGCTTTATAAAGTATAATCTCTCGCCCCACCGATTCCCCTGGGAAGGGGGAGGGAGGGAGAGGTTGACAAGCCCAGTTTTTTGGCAGCAGAAGTTGACAATTAGAATGCACAGGGAACTAATTTTCAAAAACAATACTTTCCAAAGAAAGAGTCCTTGGGCAGCCTGAGCTGTTTGCTGCGTTTCCTGGGCAGCTGTGGAGGAGCTGTGCCGGCGGGGGTGGGCTTCGGTGGTGTCCCCCGCAGCGTTCCTGGGGGAGGCAGCCCCTGTCTGGCTCCTCAGAGCTGCCCCCTCCCTCTCTGATGGTTTTTCTCCTCCACCTCCTTCCAAAACTGGCTTTACAAAGCAGCTGAAAGTATTTTCCCGTGCCTTTCTCCTAATGCTGTATTTCTTTGTTGTCTTAACAGGTCAAAGGACTGACTGCTCCCTTGCCAGGTAGGTGCGGCTCAGGGAATCGTTTTTTAAGGAAAATCTGATGCGCATTGGTCACTCCCACTCCAGATTAGTTATCAGCCCAGGATATGTATGTTAGAAAAAGATATTCATTTTGCTAATATATAAGTAAATTCCTGCTAGTTAATATGGCTTTAAATACCATCGCTATCGCCTACATCAGCGCAAGGTGGTGGCACAGCTTGTACGTGCGTTGAGTAGCCTCTGGTCGGCTGAGTAATGAATATTTCTTTTGATGCAGTGCCTGCTTCAACACCTCTCCTTGCTTGTCGCAGCCCTGCGCGGCCACCGTGGGTGTGAGCGTACACCTGCTGGCAGGGCTGCCTCTTGCAACAGGTTGGGAAACATTGGGGTTAAAAATACCAAGGGGGGAAAAAAAAGATGAGATACATGGAGGTCTTGCTCTTTTTCTTGCCCTGGTGCGTTTGATCCAGATGAGGATGGGGATGGGCAGGTGGGAGAAACTGTTTAATTCGGCACTGACATCCAGAGGAGTATTCTTCGAACTAAGATTTTTATAAACACGTTTGTATTTGTGTAAGGGAGGTGGGCCGGTGGCTCTGCAGGGTTTATCCACACGGTTGGTGTACAGGGCTGAGTAACGTAAATCAGAACAGTCTTTACCCTGTTGGCACTCTCTGCTGTGCTGTGGAACTGGATTGCAGCAGTATAGAGGTCATGCAGAATAAACTTTTCATTTATAATTAGGACCAATCACAGAACCGTAACTAAGCTTCTCCTGATGGGGTTTTTATAAAACATAACAAATCTCCATCCCCAAATTGATGGATTCAAGGGGCTCCGCCGGGCACGAGGAGCTGGAGCAGGGGCTGTGCATCATCCTGCCTTGTTAACAAAAGGAAGGTGATTACTCCCGATCCGGAGTCATTACTACTTTTCACATTCCTTCCAGCAAAGCAAAGCTGACAGGTCCTAATTAGAGCCTGACATCTGTAATAATAAAATATTGTTCATCATGAAACAATTTTAAATATCAAAGAATCATTACTGCTAATAGTTTAAAATAGACCTCACTGTCTGTGACAGCCCATGGAATCTGATTTCTTTTTTTTTTCATTCAGTGTTTTTGATTTTTATAAAAGGAATTTCCCCTGAATTAATACATTGTACAGCCTTTTTAAAAATCACAGTTCTAATCACCTTATTTATAATGCAGCAGCCATCTGCCCTAGCAGGGAATTGGCTTGAATGATACATTAGGGCCTCTCTACTATTATCTCTCATGCTTCGTTTTTACAAGAAACTATAGGAATTTAAAACCCCAGTAATAAATTTTGAGGGAAAAATCCTGGCAGAGGCAGGCTTTTTTCCCTATTTTCCTACAATTATTGTCTAGCAACATAAATAAATGAGACCATCCCGGTTTATACTGAAAAGGCGTAGCCTGACTAGCGTGTGCTGGTGTTCGAAGGGGTTTGTTTTATGTATTTATTTGAAGTCTTGTCAGAAACTTTCATAAAGACCCCACAGTGGCCGCTGTTGACAGCGCAGTCGGAACCAGCGTGCTCCCACCTGCTTCTCCCTCTGCGGAGCGGCTCTTCCAGAGAAAGCTATGTGCAATTTATAACAAACTTCATCTTCAGCAAGGAGCCCTGTATAGCAGATCTCCATATGGTTGGAATTAAAATGTCAAGGGGAATCTTTTGTCAAAGCGGTGGACTCCCTTGTGTCTATTTCAGGTTTTTAGTGATTTAAAGCCACTTAAAGTCTTTCTGAAGTTCTGTAAATTGGATGAGGCTAAGTCATTATGATTGACTTGTATATCTGGCTCCTTCCCTCCTCCAAAATACGCGTGGTTTGGAATAGCGAACGGAGGAGAACGGTGGTCATAGAGGATTATCTTGACTTTTCTGTTCTCTTTTCCCCTCCCGCACCAATGGGCGGTTCTGATCTCATCAGCGGCCGGCGCAGCTCCACCGTGAGGAAGCAGGTAATGGACATTTCCTTAAGGAACAAACCGGGGATAGGTGTGTGCTTGTGTGGAGGAGGATGGACGGAAAACAGGGAAGTGTTTTTATCCTTCCCTCCCTCTCTTACATGGACCTTTTCAGTCTCGTTCAAGTGGAACTGGGGTCTGCTCGTTCAGTAACTGAAATCAATAAAACATAGATCCACAGCCTTGATTCATTTTCTCTGACAAAAATTTAAAATCATTTTACTCTGTGTTTTGACAGGCCTGGAACCAAAAATGCCAAGCAGCCTTGAGCTGTCTGGACGGTCATGGTTTATGGGTTTCGTGCTGTTGTTTCTTTGTCCCCTTTCCCTTGATTTTCACTGGTATCCCACTGCAATGCTATTAAACCAGTAACTGCTCACTCTTTGTGCCTTCTTGTAATAAAGACTACGACAGCGATGCTTTGTTTTCCTGGCTGTGGTGGATAATCTGTTACTTTTTAGTACCTGATGAGCTAAAGTAGTTTCTTTGAGATAGGGAAAAACCAAAATATTTGTTGTTGATACTGTGAAGACAAAATTTGGCTTGGAATTTCATTTGGTTTAGTGGTGGACTTGGTAGTGTAGGTTAATGGTTGGACTGGATGATCGTAAAGGTCTTTTCCAACCTAAACGATTCTATGATTCATACAGTCTGTCTTGGGGTGTAGTTTTTAGGATTCCTGTATATTGGAATTTAAGTAAGAGAGCAGGTTTTGGTTTTGGTGTGCAGAGTCAAACCTTTTTCATTTTCTGAGCTTAGTTATTCCTTTATTTATGCTCTGAAAATAGTCCTTTCCTATGCTGAAAATGAGGTACGTGCGTGTCTTGATTGCCATTTTCGCAAGTAGTTTTTGAGGTGTCTCAGAAACTTATTCTGACGCGAGTAGAGCTGACAGACTAGTCTCTGCTTTGGAAACCTAAATTAATAACTAATCTGTCTGCAAACACTGAATCCACAGCTCACAGTAACCTACATGAAATCACTTGCATGTGGTTTTAATGGGTTTCTTTGATTGTGACCTGACAGTTTAAAACATAACTGCTCTGAGAGTTTTACTCTCTGCTGGGGACCCAGAATACGTGCGTCTCTGTGCGCTCCTCCTGTCAAACTCCAAAACAAGTCGGGGGGGTTATAATGCTGTTTGGATGATTATTAATAAAGCATGTCCTGAGGGGCCAGTTGAGCGGCAGAATGGCTTCTGAAGAATTCTTAATTCGTTGGTGGTGTTCTGTACAGCATACAGAAAACTAGTTCTAACTGGCTATGGCTAATTAGTAGAGAAATTATTAATTGTTACTATATGACCAAGTTCTATGACATTGCAATAAAACAAAAAAACATTAAACCTAAACAAGTTGCGAAAATGGTTGAAATGGGGTTTTTTATATATATTTTTGAGCAGAGGACTGTCATCCTTTTGAGCCGATTGAAATGTGATACTGTAGGATCCTAACAAGTGAGCATTTTGATATAAATCAGAGGCATTGCTGTCCAAAACTACTGCAGAAGAGGCTATGCATAAACAAAAACTTGGAAGTTTTAATCACATGGTAATTTCAATCGCTGGCATCTGACCTTAAGCAAACTGCAGCACTTCTGTTGCCTAGTTGCTGTTTCCCAAAATGGGAGGAGTAACTGCGGACACTGCAGAAATTCAGTTGTCTGAAAAGTAATGTGATGCTGTGAAGCAGAGACTAGGGAAGTGTAAAGGCTTGTTTCCATACTGAAAGTCTCAATTGAAGTTGTTTAAGCTGGAAACCGGCAATCTAGAAGGTGTTACTGTGTTTGGACTGAAGAGAGTGTTTTCCATGAGCAGGTACCTGTATGGTGCACCTTACTTAGTGGACCGTGGCCGCAGGGTACTGAGGAGCTATTTTAAATGTTTGTGAGAAAATAGCAGGAGTTTGATGCAATCCTGAAATTGCTCATATTTGAGATCTTCAGTAATCAGTCCAGAACCTAAACACATCTGGAACTGCATGGAAGCAGAATATGGCAGATGAGAGGATAAATTGGCTTTCCGTTCTTTTTTTTTTTTTAAACACCCCCCACACACACACACTTTTACCATCACTCTGCATTCTGACTGCTGCTCTTGTTTAAATTTCTCTTTGTGCAGGATTCCTCACAAGCCATTCCCCTGGTCGTGGAGAGCTGCATACGATTCATTAGCAGACATGGTGAGTTTATGGACAAAAGGTATCCTGTGCTATTTCTATAAAATGAATGGTGATGTGGAAGCCTTCTGAAAAATGCTGAGAGTAGCTCGGGACACGGTGCTTGTGCAGAGGAATCCTAGAGACTGCAATATAAAGAAACTATCACTGACTTTCTGGCTGTATTGTTGGTATTGTGTGTGTGATAACTTTTCCAAATGGTTATTGCAAATAACTGACCTTGCAAATGTTGTTCTTCCAACAATATCTCTTTGTTTCTTGTCAAAGAAGGTTCCCATCCTTAGATACCACTCATGCCTCACCTCCACTCACCTTGCTTTGAGCCCTGAAATATGGCCTTCACCAACAATAATCCCGCTCTTCCTAGAGGACGAGGAATACTCTTTTAAGTATTTGAATGTAGGAGGTCAAGTAGCGGATTAATTGCTTGCTTACTGCCACAATGAGATGACTGATACCTGTTTTGAAGGTTAACTTCACAGCCTTGAATGCTGTAAAATATTTTATATGTTTATTGTAATTTGTTTTCATTTCTAATCGATACCATTTGTTAGTAGCATGTGAAACAGCTGTTAATTAACATATGTAGAAAGAGGTTGAATTTATCTTCATTAACCAAGACACAGAGCCAGATAGTAGGTCCCGTTTCATTTTCCGTGTTTAATTACCATTTTAGAAACTATAATCTAGAGTCCCATTCTCATCATCACTTGGAAGAACCAAGTGCTATAATCCTTCATTAAGGCCATACTTGGACATTTGCTGGAAAAATCATTGAAACCACATTGCAATGCGAACCAAATTGGGGCCATCGGGAGATTTTAGTTTTTAGACTCCTGTTCCTAGGTTAGCTTAGATTCCCAACAGCAAGGTTTTCCAACGAACTCAACTGATTTTTGCTCTGAATGTCATGTTGTGACCTTACAGGTACAGCTTGTAATTAGAAGGAATGAGCTTTTATACAACAAATCCACTTTAGGCAGAAGAAACGATAAAACTGCCTGCCTGACGCACTTACATTGCAGGAATAAATTTTGTTGGAGGTAGCCTGACATTTCTAAATGTTTTGCTGCGTAGGTGTGGGATGAATGTCGTTTTCATTCTTGCTTCTCTGCACTTGGGATTGTTTCTTTTCACTGTTCATAGCTGTGTGTCACAGCTACCGGCTGCAGCCACATACTGCGAGGTTTCATTGCGTTGTGATAAAAACGGTGGCAGAAATTGAGAGGAAGAGGCCGCAGATGCATTCAAGAGAGCTTACTAGTTTATAGCCATTGCTATAAATAAAGCAAAGATGTTGCAGCATTCCCTGTTTCAGGAAGTCTACAGTTCAAAGGCTTGAATGAATGGGAGTTGATTTCCCTACGTGAAGCATACACTTTGTTCACTAGTGGATTTGTAACGGTGGTTGCTCATCTTACACGTACCAACAAAACCATTATGTTGGTAGTATACTGGAACATCTCGCCTACTTGGTAATTGGTTTTAATGACGTTGAATGCTTACTTTTTAGCAAGAATGTCTTAAAGACTATCCTAAGACCCTAGCTAGCAGGTCATGCTGGGGTAATTCAATGCTTCCGTTTCAATCGGCTGATTTGCTCTGGGCCTTTGCGGTATCACTCTTGCAAAATAAACTGCATCACTCTGTAGTTAGCCGTATTTTACTTCTGGCTGATACACCGTTAGTTTATGACTTTCTCTGGGTTGTAAAATCCTCTGGGGATCCTTCAGGGTAAAAGATAACATGCATGGCTGTTACAGCCCCGTTATTCTGTCAGTTTACGAAGGAGGGTTAATATTTTTTTCTCCATGGTGCCAAGTTCTGTTTTTACATATTCTGTATGTGCCTGGACATATAAGGGAAAGATGGCTTTTAAAACAGCATACTCTTGTCTGTGTTGCTTATGTTTCCTTTATCGCATGCGCTGTAGCTGATGAAGGTGCCAGCTTCTCTTACTGTTATCAACATCTCTTACTGTCTTACAGGTTTGCAGCATGAAGGGATATTCAGAGTGTCTGGGTCACAAGTTGAAGTAAATGACATAAAAAATGCATTTGAGAGAGGTAAGGATGATCTCGGAAATTATTGCCAAAGGTCTTAATTTGTTTATATGTTCTGAAATGGCGTGTTTTGAATGCAACTCGCTATATTTTGTTCCTTTGATTTTTGTGTTTCCTAAGTGAGTCTAGCCCAAACACTTTTCTAGTGCTCATTAACCTTGAATACTCAGTTGTTTGGCATTATGCTTTATATCTTGTAGAGTGTCTGTATAATAAATATTCTGAATTCAATCTTCTCTCACGTCTGATAGCTTATTGATTATTTGTAACACTAAAGGATATAGAGAATTTCATTATTGGGTGTAACTGCATTTTTCTACCCTCTGCCCCCAGCCCTTTGTGAATACGCTGCCTGCTAGAGGAAGAAATTCTGTGTTTTCCATGTTCTTGAGGCACAGCTTGGCTACATTTATTCTAAATATCAGCAAACGAGAAAGAAAATCAAATCTATTAAAAGCTATGTCAAGTTAACAGTGTCTTGAAATTTACTGTGTGAAGAGCCATTCCATAGAAAGGCAAAGAACGGCTGGGAGCCTCCTGAATCATGAGCTTCTAGCTGGGCTGCTCTCCCTAGCAGAGCAGGTTCAGGAGAGCTTGCTCTTCAGGCAGTCCTTGCAGCTCGTCTCTCCCCATTCTTGCTTGGGTCGCTGAAAACGACAGGGCTCATGTTAATGCCCTGAATACATCACTCTAAAAGAATATAGTTAGTGTGTTTCTATGCTTGCTGTTGGAAGAGATGGGTGTAATTACTTTAGGCATAGCAAGTTTATTTTGCTTTTGGGAAGAGAGGAGTTTCATGGACGACGTGCATGAAACATGGCATCTAATTTCACCTGTCTTCATCTCCATCTACCTGAGAATTAAAATCCTCAAGAATGGAGGAAGCGGAAATGTGTAGCATAGGCTGCAGGTAAAGGCTTGATACCAGAATGAAAGACCTCTTTTTTTTTTTTTTTAAATAAAGGAAATACCAGTCATCTTGGGAAAATAGCCAGTTGTTCCAGCACTAACATGCAGAAATAAAAAGGTGTTGTTTTCTTTTTTTGCTTCATCTCACTTGTCTCTGTAAAGCGTATGATATACAGAACTGACAAAGTTAACAATAATGTCTCTGCGATTTGTTAGTTCATCCAGAACCCTTGGTGGCAGTTAATATCAAGGATAATGCTCCGGTTTGTAGTGGCCCATTTATTATCCTGTGTGTTATTAAGATAATAGGCAAGCTTTGGTAATTTCAGTCACATAATGGATATATATAGCTTCAATCTGAGGATTGCCCCATCATTAAATCTAATTATATCTGATAGGGAGTTTTCCCTAGGGAACAACTCCTTAAGTGGGCATCTTTTCTTTTGTAATGCAGACAAACTGTGGCATATCTGCAATGACAAATTATCTGTCCCAGAAACGCTCTCCCCCCGCCAATTCAACATAAGATGCCTGCAGCCTGCTGAGCCAAGTGCACGATGCTCGGTGGCCTCTTGCGCGTGCACTGAATCCCCCTTAGCTTCACTTGGGAGTTTGCATAAAGACCCGCTCCTGGACTCGTGCAGCGTTCACCTCGGTGGTGGATCTGTGAGGTTTACACCCTACCCAAATATCTGGAGCACAGAGCCTGGAAGCGTTACTAGCGCTCTAGGAGCACCACCACCCTCCGTGGGCGTGAGCCAGGCGCTCCGGTGTCAGACTGTAATCTGCTTGATGGAAAGCTGTCCCAGGTCTCCTGGGATTGCTGTCAGAGGCTTCCCTTCTCGACTGCGATGCACAGGATGCTCTCTCTACCTCACACTGGTTGTGGTGCTGTTGGAGTAGGTGGGATTAACTTTGTGCTGCGTAAATCCTTTTCTCCAGCTGAGGTGCATCCTTCCAGTCTGATTCTTTTCCCCAGTGTTGTGATTTCTTTTCATGCCTGTTTTTCTTTGCTTGTCGTGAAGGGGAAGACCCACTGGCTGGGGACCAGAATGACCATGACATGGATTCAATAGCAGGAGTTCTGAAGCTCTACTTTCGAGGGCTGGAGCACCCTCTCTTCCCCAAGGATATCTTTCACGATCTGATTGCCTGTGTCAGTAAGTATATGAAGATCTGAAAAGAAATAGGATTAATTTTTCCAATCTCATCTTCCACTTTCCTCCCTTCCTCTCCCTTTTTTTCCTGGCTCCGAAATAATCTTTTTATGGTTTCTTTGGGTTTGTGTTGCACTTGTGTCCTAGTCTGTATTAGCCAGGGTCTGGGCACTTACCTGGTTACAGCCATACTGTAGCAATTCTGATAGCAATTTTTTTATAGATGAGCAAGGAGATATAAATAGATTTTAAGGGCTGTCGTGGATTTTTCTGAGACAGTGCTTCGTGACAGGATTCTTTTAAAACAGAATAAAACAAAAACCTCGACTTCTCAAAAATAATCTTTAAGACCTCTCATCAGAAGGTGTCAGAAATGCCTCTCAGAAGCAGGGATCGCCGGCAGGGTTTCTTGCCCCGCGTGCTTTCCCTAGTGTTGATAGATACACGCTGCCTGTATGTCTGCTGCCGTGCTTCTGCGTGTTCTCTCTAGCTGGCGAGGTAGTCGTCGTATACCTTTGAGCTTCGTAACCATGAGGGGCCATCTGGTGACTCCTGTTAAAGAATATCAATCATGAGGGCAGTCACAGGCCAGTTGTTAACATTTTTGATGGTTTCTAAAGGTGGCTCTGGTGAGCAGAGGGTTGTTTGTGTTTTTTGTGCGTGAACAATCTCATTTTAAATGGCCTGACTATTGCCATGGCCTTCAGAATCGAAGAATGATTCTGTTGTCCAAATAGTGAAATGGCCTTTGCGGTGGCAGCCTTTGAAGTAAAGCAGAAGATAGCCGCTTCTAAAACGGCTTGTGGTTTTCTTCTCCTGATAAATGCATTTACAGAGTTGAATTCACAATATATGAGAAGAAAAATCTGCTTCCAAATAAGTTCTCCCTTCTGAGATGATTTATGCTGCCCACTTATTTCTCAGTAGGCTGCTGCACACAGAGCTTTTTGCCTCACCCTTTAACTATGTTAATTTTCCTTTGAGTGTTATACAATTTCTTTTTTAAACACCCACCTTTCCAAGCTAACTTGAATGAGCTATTGTGCCAGAACTATTGAAACAGATGACATCCAGCGCTCCCACGCTAGGAAGGAACTTGCAGTGAAGTTTCACGTGTTCAGGGACCTTCATTGTCAAAGGCTTTGCCAGCAGGTTCTGCAGCCTTTGCATTCCTGTGCCGGGCAGCGCTGGAGGATCTGGAAAATGGGGCAGACCCTTCCTTCCTCCTCCTGCTGCTGCTGCTCTCCTGGCTGTCCTCCGTCATAGTCTCCGTCAGAGAGGTGGTGGAGTCACCATCCCTGGAAGTGTTCAAAAAACGGGTAGATGTGGCACTTGGGGACATGGTTTAGTGAAGTCTACCCTTGATTGGCTTAGAGTAGACTTGGTAGTGTAGGTTAATGGTTGGACTGGATGATCTTAAAGGGCTTTTCCAACCTAAACGATTCTATGATTCTATGATAGTTTGCACAGGAACCATCATAGTGTACTGGTTGCATTTGGACTCAGCGACAAGTTGTGGGTATGGTGATACGATGACTCTGTGGTGCTCTTTCTTCCTTTCAGCAATGGATAATTTACAAGAGAGAGCGCTCCACATCCGGAAGGTGCTTCTGAACCTGCCGAAGACCACTCTGATTGTAATGAGATACCTCTTTGCATTCCTCAATCAGTGAGTACCCTTGAGAGCACCGTGGTGCTGCTGTAGGCCTTGGTATAATCATGGTAAATGGCAGAACCAACCTTAACATTGCTGCCTGCGATATGAGCAACAGTTCAAGGTACAAATGCCACAGTAGCTTGCTGTTGCATCTGCCTTCCTAGGCTTTTCAGCCTTGCCAAAATTCGTCCCAATGATACAAATGCAATCTCGAAGGAGTTCCAGAAATGAAAGTGAATAACGTGCTGGTAATCCAAGCAAAAGGTGATACGAAAGAGTCAGAAACGGGGTTCCGCACCAGCAAGGAGCACTATGTGCTAAGTAGTGTGAGTGGTGGAGAGTGCATGGGTTTGGTTTTGGGTTTTGGTTTTTTTTTTTTTTTTTTAAAACAGTCCACTGCATCTGGCTGGTTCATTGGATAGCTTGGCAGCAAGGAGTCGGTGGTTTCCTCCAGTAATGTGGTCTTGACACCTGAGGTAGCATAAAGGAAAAATGTTGTAACCAGAAGGTTATACATATATCGTCAAAGCCCTTTGAATACCATTTAGGTAAAAGAGAAATACAATTGCAAGACAATATTTTGACCTAGCAGAGACCTGAGGCTTACTGTCTGCTTTTGTAAAGCTCCAGTTCATCAGCTACTTTTGATGAACATCTTATTCCTTACATTAAAATGAGACAATGTTAGGGCTTGAGGTTTTTCTAAAAGACTTCTATTAAAATGGAGCAGGACATTTACTAAACCTGTCCATATATTCAAGTGGTTATTTCTCTTTGGAAAGCAGGGGGTTTGTTTCACAGATGTCGCTCCTGGAGTCACTGAAATGTGTGACTTTGCGGTCTCAGGAGCTTTTAATTATTCCAAGTAGGGATCTAGAAAACAGGGAGTTTCAAGGGGAATTGTGTTGGAACTTAGTTTTCTGTTCAATCTTTAATTGTTACCTGAAAGGCATTAATTGTAGGTTTGGGACAAAATTTAGTCAGATAAAAGTTGTGTTTTAAAGAGAAGGCACCATATAGAAAGTGTAATATTTGGATTTGCTGGGAAATCCTGAAGAAGAGTCCCAAAAAAGGCCCACTTGAGAAGCTCCTGGGCCTTGGAGAAAGGTTGTAACACTCGGCACGCTTGATCATGTGCATTTAGGCAGAGAGGACCTAATACAGCTCTGGGATTGAGTGCTGGGCTATGAACAGGAGTAATACAGAAGAGTTAAAGAAGAATGTCCTCCCCTTGTAAAGTCACCCAGTACTTTTCGCATAGTCTCAAGCTTTCAAGCTCCCTTTGGAGTTGCTATTTCATTTCTCTGTAAATGCCATCAGTATCTCCTTTTACCCAGAACATTCATGTCCCAGCTGATCGTCTTTAAACAGCAGAAAGCCCAAAGCAGACCTTCCCAGCTCAGCTGTGTGTTGTCCAGCAGGTAATGATGATGATGGTACTGGTTTCTGCTGTTAACCCTCCTCCCCACTTCTGTCTTTTGCAGTTTATCTCAGTTCAGTGAAGAGAACATGATGGATCCCTACAATTTAGCCATCTGCTTTGGGCCAACACTGATGTCTGTGCCTGAAGGTCATGATCAAGTCTCTTGCCAAGCTCATGTCAATGAATTGATCAAAACCATCATCATCCAACATGAGAACATCTTCCCAGGACCAAGGGACCTGGAGGGTCCAGTCTATAGCGGAGGTGGAAACACCGAGGATTACTGGTATGATAGATAACCACTGAGGAGAAAATGAATGGGTGGATATTTATTTACGGATTAGCGTGCTACAGTCATGCATTCTGCATTGCCTAATTCTGGATTCGAGCATCTGCCCCAGCCTTTCAAAAATCTGTTTTATGGAAGAGAGGATGGCTCTAGTATCTCTGGAGAGTCATCAACTTAAAAGACACAAGCTGGTAGAAAGTAGCTATTCAGTTGTCAAACCTAGCTCACTTATCTTGAAGGGCAAGGTTGTGTAGGGATTTTCTTGGATGTTCTGGTATGGTAGCTGCCAAAATCAATCCCG